GCTCATAGGGGGTCATATGATTGTTGGGTTTTTCTCTGTATCTATGAAGCGCCTTGAGGCGACTTTTGTTGTGATTTGGCGCTATATAAATAAAACTGAACTGAATTGAATTGAATGACAGGTCAACACGAGGCGCCATCATGTGGTACAAACGATTTATTAGGGGACGCCGGCTGACTTGACAGAGGAGCTTATTAACATGAGCAGAAACATCTGGAAGGCTTCACAGAGGCCTGTTTACAAACAAACAGCTGTTACAGTAAACAACAACAACAGCTGAGTCTGATCACAGCTGCAGCTGCCAGGTAAACTTCCTGTTTCAGGTGTGCTCGGCTTCAGTCTGTGTGGGGACGTGGCTTCGCTGCTTGAGTGAAGCCTTTGGCAGAGACATCCTGTGTGACCCTGTGTGTGACAGCCAATCAGAGCCAGAGGCGTGTCTTCATGTTGAGGCTTTAATGAGTTTTTAAATAAAACAGAAAACCAGCAGAAATCATAGAAAAATAAAAAAGGCAACTTTTACCCACAATGCACTGCAGGAGGTCTTTACACTTTATATCTACAGGTTATTCCTCAGGCTGAAGGCTCGTCTCCTCCTCCTGCTGCTCCTGCTGTTTCTCCTCCCCCTCCCCCCCTGCTGCTGTTAACCCCTCCTCCTCTCCTGTGGAGGTGGGGGAGGTGTTCTCCCCATCGTAGATGATGTCCTCGGGGTTTGGAGCAGGAGGACAGAACTCCTCCTCGGGGAGAATCTTCAGGAAAATCGACTCAGCCTGAAAACAAAGAATCACACGCAAACATTACAGGAAGCGCCTGCAGTTCCTCTAAAGTTCCAGCGGGGGCAGCACCGAGTCAACCCCACAGACTCCCATGTTAAAATGAACATGCTTACAGCCTGACACGCAGCTAACCCTGTATTCATATATGCGTTTCTGGAAGCTAGCTAGCTGATAATCTAGCAAGCAGGCGTGTATGCGTGTTTGCCCCTCCCCCGACACACAGCTGCGTGAACAAAGAGAAACTTTTATTCATCAAACACGACCTGAAGGAGGACCACGGCCTGAAAGGTACATCTCACCTGTTTGATGGCGTGTTCGTGTCCCAGAGCGCCATCTGGGCCGGAGCACACGTACACGTTAGACGGGAGGTCGTGACCTTCAGGCTCCACCCCGGAACCGTCGGCCATGTTGAAGTACAGACACCAAAGGACAGCTGGACGGTTTTCTGCAGACGGACATAATTAGATGAAAAAGTTCAGCTCATAGAAGAAAAAAACGCCGCCACAGCACGTGTCACTAACGTGTCACAGCAGAAGAACACGAGTCGGGATGTTTTCAAAGGAAATGAAATGTTATAATGTAGACCAGGGTGGGCAGCTCCACGCCTCGAGGGCCTGCAGGTTTTAGATCGCACCCTGGGTCAACACACCTGAATCACATGGTTAGTTCATTACCAGGCCTCTGGAGAACTTCAGGACATGTTGAGGAGTCATTTAGCCCCTTAAATCAGCTGTGATGGATCATGGACACATCTAAACCCTGCAGGACACCGGCCCTCGAGGCCTGCAGTCGCCCACCCCTGATGTAGACAGTACACCATCCGATCCTGGACCAACAACTCTAATTTAATGTGTTCATGCCTCTAACGTCGGTCCAGTGTCAGAGACGGCGTGATGAGGCTTTACAATAAATCAAAACTTAATCGAATAAAAGATGTAAATGAAGCAGGAAGTTTAACAGGAACATGACGGAGGCGCTTCCCTCCACCTCCCTCATCAGCTGTGATGAATCTCTCTGTACCTGCATCCATCCATCCTCACTGCTACTGTGTTCTGCTTATAATTAAAACCACAGAAGAAGAAGGTGATGAATGAATTGAAGAGAAGAACAAGAAGAAGAGGAGGAGGTCAGGGAGGAGACAAAGTTATCAGGACACAAAGACTCACTGAGCGTTCACGTCTGTGCAGTATCAGGTCACATGACTGCAGTGATGAAAGGGTTAACGGTCGCTCTGCACCGACCAGGAGAATTCAGCTTTTACTCATAATATGTCTGACAACGTGACGTCAGTCTGGACCAAACTCCATTCAAAAATCGGTGAATTTTACCCAAACTGCAGAAAACAGCAGTGAGAAACACTACGAACACCACAA